CAACACACATGTATTCTCAGGGGATTGAGAAACATAGAGGAAATGTACAAAACTGAAAGATCAGGTATTTCAGGTGCCACTCAATGTTGCTCTTGGGGACTATGGTAAGGGCCTAGTCTAGGGATTAGACTGTGAAGCATCATATGGTAACAGAGGCTTGATAGTCATTTGTAATCCTAAAATACTATGTCTGCAGTCATATATGGAATTCATGAGGCATGCTTTTATTGAATGTCTTCTATGTGCAAAGTACTTTTCTGGGTAAGAGGAAGGGAACCAACTTACAGCCTGGTGGGTGAAATAGATGTGTCTCTTATTACATATAGCATTGTTTTGTACTTGACCAGGACATTCAGATCTTTGTCATCAGATTCTCAAAGACTTTTAGGATATATACAGGGCAGTCTTCAATTTACAGATGAACAAACTGAGTCACACAAGTGACATATATGAGACCATCTGCCTGTAAAAGTGCGAAGAGTATGGAGAGTAGGTGCCAATTTCCAAGATGATGATTCTAACACAGAATGGTGAAACACTGGGAGAAGCATTTTGGGAAGACTTTGGTTACTGCTCAGCCAGCTTATTCTTGAGGAACTGAGGGTTCACCAGGACTGTACTTTTATGCAGAGTAGTCAAAACCTAAGAAACTGGAGACTGAACTCCATTGCCAGGTAGCCCTGCTGGTAAAGGTGGTCCTGCAGGAGAAGCAGAGTCAAGAGGGAATGAGACTTCTTCTGGATATCCCTACTGAGCCTACCTGAGGAAAGTTCCAGAATGGAAGTTCAAGAGGCTGTCCACAAAGCTATTCTCACAGTATGTTGACTGATCCAGTCCTGCAGAGCAGCCTAGTGTCTTCTCAACATCAGTCCTTGCCGGAGGTGCTCTCTGAACCCTAGAAGTTCTTCAGGTTGCCCAGCCCCCAGTGCTCTACCCTCTTCCAAAAGAAGAATTGTAGGATGTGTCTACCAAGCTTCTTAGCTAACATGTAATCTCTTTTCTGACAGCCCTTTCCTCCCCTTCTGCCGGAAGAATTGAGCATAGAAGTATGCGTGTGAGTTGCATGGACACATGTATATGTCCAGAAGGCTGGGGAAGCAGTTGTATTGTCTGGGAAGAGGAAGAAATTCTCATCTGCTCTCCAGTGACCTTACTAACTGCATCCTTCTTCAGATGTTTCATTTTATTACCCTTCCTCCTTTTCTTTCCTGGCTCTTGTCAAATTCCTGGGAGGATCTTCCTATTTTGTGCCATAAGGTCACACTATCCTGTGATGCTACTAATGCAAAACACTAGGCTTTTCTTTACGATGGCTAAAGCCTCCAGACACTGGCATTCAGATGTTGTGAAGAAGAACAAACTCAGGAGGTGGAGAGCACAAGAGGGCCTTCATCAATTAGAGACATGCTAGCTAGGTGGTGTCCATAGCAGTTACAAGTATGGGATTGGGATTTGTCTAGATCAAAGACTAGATTAGACTAGATTGTCTAATTTAAAACTTATTTCTGTGTGTTTGCAACTATGAAACTTTGCTGTGGCTCAGTTGCCTTCCCTGTAAGATGGGGATAACAATAGTACCTCCCTTATGAGTGTTTCACAATGTCAATGTATAAATATAAAGTAGTTAGAACAGGGATGGGCATTTTCCAAGAACTCTGTAACTATTACTTATGAATAGTTTTAGTCTTCCTTTTACGGGATAGGCTCAGGAGGACTGGTTCCTAATTTCCACACAGCCAGGGGCTCCTATTATGTGCCTGCCCTAATGAGGGCCATGGCACATCCAAAAGGTTTCTGTCCATTAGTCAGCATTGGCCCAATGTGCTCAGCCCTGAAGCCTTTGAGACCTCCAGAAAGTGCTTTCTGTGCTGGCTCCAACTTTGTCATTCTTTGAGGGCTTAACACCCACTGGTCTTCTTCCCAAAGAGGACAGAATGGTCCAGATTGGGTAGGGGGTTAGATAGCCATGAGCTTCATCATTAAGAACAATAGGAAATACTGGCAGGAGCTTGGAGGGGGCAGTCATAACCTACAGGGCTTGAATGAAGGTCCTCCATACCTTCAACAAGAACATACTCCTTGGGCCAGAGATTTAGCTCAGTTGTTCTGCCGCCTGATTCGAAAGCACAAGGACCTGAGTTTGATCTCTGGTACCAAAAAACCAAAACAAAACATAAGAACATGCTCCTCAACGACACCCAGCGGTTAGCCCCCTAAAGAGGTTACCTTAGGAGATTCATCAGCTTGAGGCCTAAGAAAGTAAGAGTGTCTCAAATCAATGAAAGCTCCAGTACAGAGGGATGAGGAAAACAGATGAGACATCCAGGCCAACTTCAGAGAAATAAAGTTAAAAATAGCTGAGCTTTTGATATATTTTCTTTCTTTTTGTGTGGTGATGATAGTGGGTATTCAGAATGGTTGGAACTGGACAGGTCACAAGTAACATTCTTTCTGCCTGTTCTAGAAGAGGTAGGCATATATAAGGTCAGTTTTCTTGATCATTTTCCAGAGTTATTACACATTGCCATAGACTAAGAATCTTTTTGTCACAAGAATTTTCTTTACAGCAATCATTGCCCCCTACCCACCTACACACTCACCCTCTGCAGGCAGCTGTGCAACTTCTGTTCTTTAGGGGGCCTGAGTATGCCTTTTGGTAGCATTCAGTAGCACTACATTAGCTAACACTCAATCCACACATGGTTCCTGCACTGAAGGTAGCATTACACTGGGAGAAGAAGGACATATCATAGTTTTGCTTATTTCTACCCAAAGGAGTCAGCCTAGGGAATACTACAGGAGTGGATCTGAGAGCTTAAGTCTAGGAGCGGAATAAATCACCCTATGATGCCTTCTAAAGAGGCAGGTCCATACTACAATATAGCTTCACTTGGTGATTTGACATTTGTCTGGTATAGGATGAAGATGGAGGATGAAACAGTTCCTAAGTACAAGTTAAGGGATGGCACTACCAAGAAGACAGTAGCCAGGAGAGAGCTGTAAGAATAGTAATTCAGACAGGGCATCTGCCAAGCCAATTCAAGCCAGCCCATATGCTATTGGTATATAGGAAGAAATTTCCAGAAGAGAACTGCTATTTATTAGACGTTATTTATTATCTATCAGGGAAAGTGCCAGGGCTTCCTTGTAATGATAACAGCTACTTTTTAATGAGCACCTATTCTGTGCCAGGTACTCTCTGCACATGAACTTATTTAATCTTCGCAACTGTTCTGTGAGTTGGGCATTAACATCTTTACTTTTAGGCAACAGAAGGTCAAAAAGGTTTGGTAACTTGCTCAAAACTGCAGAGCTGGTGCAGATTTGAATTTTGTTCTTGCTTACTTTAAAACTAGTACTTACTATGCTACATTGCCATTCTTCAGTGTAAACAAATGCTTCAGAATCTTTGTCCCAGGAGGTTATAGGCAAAAATAATGTCCTGATTATATGCTCATGGTAGGTTAGGACAGATATTATAAAAAACAATACTCACATCTCAGTTGTTTAATAAATCAACAATAATTTATATTCTTATCCCAGTCCAAGGGTGGTGTGAGGTAGACTGGTGGGCTCTAGTCTACACAGTTATTCAGAGACCTAAGCTCATTTGCCCATGTTTTATAGTTGTGAGAAGAGAGAAAATAGAGGAGACCTACATACTGCTAACGTCTTCAGGCTGTAGAGAACTGAAACACCTCTGCTGACATTCTGCGGTAAGGAATGACCACCTCATTGTAAGGAAGTCTGGGAACGTAATTTAGTGGCGAGCCCTGTAAGAAGAAGGAATGGGTTCTGTGAACACCTATACAGTCTCTGCCACACTGATCCATTCAATAACCTCTGGGGCAATCCCCAAAACTGTCAACTCTTCCAATTACTATGATTTTGGATGGGTTAGTTAACCTCTCCTCTCTGTATCTCCATTTCTTCGTGTATGGAATGAAGATAATAGTAGTATTTATTTTACATGATGAGGATGAAATAAGGATTTGTACATGTAAACACTGAGTGCAGAGCCTAGTATACAGTAAGTGCTTGAAAAAGAGATAGCATTGTGCTGCAAGTTATATTCTCTCTGTTAGAGACTATAATGCACATTAACATAGTAGATGTTCTAAGAAGTCTTAGATAAACTTTCTAAAAGAAACTTTGGTCAGCCCAGTTGTCTTAGTCTATTTTAGGTTGATATAACAAAATCCTGAGAATGAATTTCCTTAAGTGAAAGAGATTTATTGACCCATCATTCTGGAGGCTAGGAAGTGCACTGGTGAGGGCCTCATCCTACTTCAACTGATTATGGAAAGTGGAGGCATGGGGGTATGGGCAGAAGAGACAAAAACCCAAGTTTAAACCCTACTTTACAGTAAGCTACTCCTGGGATAGCTAATACAGTCCCAGGAGAGTAAGAACTCAATCCTGCAAGTAAAACATTAAACCCTCTTAACTACCTCATCACTTCTTAAAGATCCTGTCACTGTCAACACCAATACATTGGGAATCAAATTTCAGTATGAGTTTTTGAAGGGACCAACCATATTCAAACTATAGTACCAGTCCCTTCCAGAGATATATGCTTGAAAAAACCTTTTTTTTTTTTTTTTTGCATTTCACTTTCACCATCCAGTGGAACTGGCATTCTCTGAGACATACTTTGGGAAATGACGTTTTCCATCCTGTGAGGAACTCTAATAAAATGTGTCAGTGCCTTAGAAATATGTTTGTTCAATTTTAATTGATACTTTCTTTCTTATTTATTATCTCCTGTTTAGAGAAGAATGAGGGAAGATTCTTTTTAAAAATGCAGACTGTATCAGCTGGCCTGCTGAAGGAGAAAAAACCATTGTATCTTTGTCAGGGTTGGGGCTTTCCACGAGGAGCAGCAGAAACTGGCTGATAGCTGTGGGGTAAATAAAAGAATAGGAGTCTGGATAGGCCAAGTCAGCCTTCCACTGTAGCATCCTAATCTCAAAGATAGAAGAATGAAATCCAAAGAACAGCAAGCATCATTCCAGTAGTCCTACTCCTCTACTACATCTATGGTATTCTCTGATTATTTAATAAAGGTCAGCCATGCCAAGGCACTGTACTATAATTTAGTGTCTTGTAGGGATAGAATGCTTGATTCTTCATTCTTCTATCCACTACATATAGGACCTACGTAGCAGGCACTCCTGCCCCTACTAGGACAGTGGCCTAATGGGAAGGTCCTGAATATGGTCTTGAGCAGCCCATAACAGCTACTTTCCCAGCTAATTTTTTAAAATCAGGCTATCCTTAAAAAGGAACTACTGTATCTAAGATAATGTATCCCCTGCTGGCCCCTTCTCAAGACTACAGATCCTTCTCCTTGGTCTCATCTCTTTCGGGGTTTCTCTCTTGTCTGGCTGGCTCAAGAAGGAGACCCTCTCATGCTACCTGAAAGTAGAGGTGGCTGGGAGCAACCTTAGCTCTTCTGTTACTGATGCAAGCTGTCACCTGCTCACCAAACCACCCAGAATGAAAGTATAATCCAAATAAAATAGTCTTAAACAAATGTAGTGTCTAGGTAAACTCTCCTGTTCTCCTAATACACACTTCACATTGCTGTCTCTAAAACTTCTGCTGCATAAAAATGGCTAAAATTGTTCCTCTCCTCCTCCCATGTACCCTCTTCTATATCCCTGGCGGTTGTATTTTTGGCCTAGTAATTTTCCTAGAGAAGATATTCCTAGGTCAATGAATGCTCACACTTCATCCGAGGGCGCTCATGGCTGGGCTTCATGCCCACATCAGCCAGCCCATCAACCCCCTTTTCCCCAAGAGTGTTTCTTTCAGCATCTCAACACTTGGTTCCAGATGAGAGGGAGAGGCCTTATTCATTAGCCTTCCCCAGAGGAGAAGACATATATTATACCCCTTCTAAATCTTCCTTTAACCTCTGTCTAGGGCAAGGTATGGAGGAGGCTGACAACAGTAAGAATTTACTCTATCCTTGCTGGGCGACTGACTGCTGATTCTCCTCTGTCAGCACTAAATAGAAGTTCTGCAGTGGTAGCTCTAGCCCCTCCCTTCATACTCCCTGGAAACTCCTGCGCTGAGCTAGCAGCAGCAACCTTACCATGAATTGCCATGCTCCTCAGCTAATAAGGTTAGCCTGGTAGGGCCTGAAGAAAGAGATATGTTTGTTTTTGTTCTGTAAATATGATCACAGTGATTCTAGTAACCAAGTTCAGTGATTGGACAACTTATATGAGATATCAAGATACATCACACCCCACCCATCCACAACACACATACATACAAGTGTATACACAAAAACAAACACATACACAGACAGAGGCAAACACATTTAAAAACTGGTCAGAGATAATCACAGGGGATGCTATGCCAACATATTAACTAACAATAACATGTAACCTGTTTAAAAATGGAATTTTCTCTAAAGGAGTTGCCAGGTACCTCATAGAATCTCCCATTATGCTCTCCTTTCAGGGCAGTGGGGCCTAATGCAAAGAGCAAGTCCTGGGTTCTTGATGGGCTTCTCGGCTTACTATCTGGGTAGTTTTGGGGAAAGTTATTTAAATGCTGTCTCGCAGGGATGATAATAATTTCTTCCTCCTTCTGGAATAGAAGTGAGGCAGTATCCATGCTATGCATTGCAATGAAGGAGAATGCACACTTTGGGGAACCATGTAGAGCCTCAGTAAGGCAGCGTTAAAAATGACTTATAGGATTTGAATTGTCTTGAGTAATTTTGGGGAGGACCTAGGGAAGTAAGGCTTTGCTCTGGCTTGGAGGCGATGAGGAAGTGCGGTAATTCTACAATTGGGTATTTCAGTAAATCTCCTCCAAAAAGTGAGAATATTTGAAGGAAAGATAAAGGTGTAATTAAAGAAACAGCAGTTATTCATATTAGCCAGAATAGGAGGAATGCTTTGTCATGTTTACAGTTTAGCACTGTTCATGATTTGTCGGTGTTGAGATCTGATTACATAGTAATCTTGATTTGTTTTGCTCTCTCGTGGTCAGTATTTCCTTGTGTGGTACTCATGTTCTGTGAAATAGTTTAGCGGGAGAAGAGCAAGGCCTGTCTGGTAGGATCAGGCCAGATCCTAGCTGTTAGGGGCTGCTTATTTCTTCCTCACTACTTCCCTTATAGCAAAGGGCAGGCAAAGTCAAGCTGTAGGACACGAAACAATGATAGCCAGATTTTCACCAATGCCAAGATTTTGGTGAGAGAATATAGTCTGTAGTAGGACTAGCATTACTCTGTTCTGTTCATCTGCTCTGTTGCAGGATGAGTTGTTAAATCCTCTAAAGTGACAATGATTCTACAGTGGTATTTAAAGCTGGACAGGACACATCAGCCAACTGTAATGCTAAGAATTGTCATAAATGAAATGATTCTTAGTCCAGGGAACCAATGACTAAAAACGTCATCTGTTGTGGTTATCTCTTAGTATATGGACATAGAAAGAAGTATTTATTATAGCATAAAATTATATCTTTGAATAGTTAAGAAAAAATCAAGCCTAGGCCAGGTGTGATGGTGCATGCCTGTAATCCCAGCACTTGGGAGGCTGAGGCAGGAGGATTGCTGTGATTTCAAGACCAGCCTGGGCTACATAGTGAGTTCCAGATCAGTCTCAACTACATAGTGAGACCCTGTCTCAAAAAATTAAAAAGAAAGAAAGAAAAAAGAAGAAATCAAGCCTAATGTGATTGTCTATAACAACCCTACCTATTAAAATTAGAGTAGTTTGTTAGGCTTTTAGAGTAGAACTTATGTTATTTATGACTTTTGCTAGTGGCCAGAAGCAAGTTTTGAATCTTGTACTGCTTGTTTCATTATTCTTAATATGAAATTCAACAGCTTCCATAGTAAGTATGAAGAAATTCTTTCTGGGAGTTCTACAAAGTATCTTGTATGTGCCTCATATTGAAGGTACATGATTGATTTTGTTATAATTAAAGAATATTTTTAGAGAAACATAATCTTCTGGAGAAATGGTAATTTTCAATATCTAAAAGCCTCTAAAATCATCCTAAAATCACAAGATATGTTAGGATGTGGCACTGATGTATGATACCTACATATAAAGTAGTATCCTTAAAGGGCACAGATTACATGTGGAGCAAAAGTATCAGTTGTGACAAAAGGAGCGAGCATACTTGTGTCCTTCTAAGGTAACAGCTGTTGTATAGAATTAGACACCTCCTGTAAAAATGCACTGAAATGTCCCTGAAAGATTATGCAGGGAATGGAGAATTCCCTATCAGAAGTGAACAATTGTAGGTTTTTCCTTCTTCAAATAAATGAAGAAGCATGGTTGGGTTTACTGCCCCTCAGCACAAGACAGTGTGAAAGGGAAAAGCAGTAATTTTTCATAGGAGGCTAGGCCATTAGCTAAAAAGTAGTGAGCAGATTTTGTCAATAGGACAGCTTGTATAGCATGAAAAACCATTAAGTTTAGTGGAGATCTAGAAGCTAACCGAAGTATATTTGTGCATATTTTTTATCGCTAATACAGCCTTTACACCAAATAGCTATGCCTTAGTCATGGAATCTAATGAAAGCCTGAAACAATTCCAGAAACATTCAGCTATCTGACTTTTAACAAAAGGGACAAAAATGTACACTGGAAGAAGGTGAGCCTCTTTAATAAATGGTTCTGGGAAAACTGGCTATCTCCATGCAGAAGATTGAATTTAGACCCTTAAATTTTACCATGTACTAAACTAAAATAAAAATGGATCAAAAATCTAAAAGAGAAAACAGAAACACTTACATTGCTTGAAGATAAAATAAATAAAACTATTGAAGACATAGAGTACACAAGGACTTTCTGAACAAAACCTCAATTGTACAAAAAATAACATCAAGAATAAATAAGATCATATCAAGGTAGAAAGCTTCTGCTCAGCAAAGGAAATAACCAACAGAGGGAAGAGTCAAGCTACAAAATGGGGAAAAATTTTGCCAGCTATCCCTTGAATAGAGGACTAATTTCTAAAATACAAAGAACTAAAAAATATTAGACCCAAAATAAAAGACTCAATCCAAAAAATGGGCTACTGAAATGAATAGACACTTCTCAGAAGTACAAATGACCAATAAATATATGAAAAGGTGTTTATCATCTCGGGTAATTAGAGAAATGAAAATTGTAACAACACTGAGATTCCATCTTACTCCAGAAAAAGTGGCTATCATCAAGAAATCAACTAGTAACAAATGCTGGTGAGACGGGTGGGGAGGAGGAACCTTTCTACATTGTTGATGGGAATGTAAACTACTATAACCACTATGGAAATCAGTATGAAGAGTCCTCAAAAAACTAAAGCTAGAAATTCCATCTGATCCAGCTGTGCCCTTCGTAGGTATCTTCAGGAAACAGTTAAAGACATCATATTTCAGCGATCCATGTATAGCTATATATATGGTACACATACTACACATGTAGACCATATATAGCAACAGAATTCACAATGGAAGCAGACTATATGCCCAACAACATATGAAAGGATAAAGCAAATGTGGTATTTATACACAATGGAGGACTAGCTTGCCATAAAGGAAGATAAACTTGAGTAATTTGTAGAAAAACAAATGGGCCTTGAAAACATAATTTAAGTCAAATAAATCAGATGCACAAGCTTAAATATAACATAGTTCCTCTTATATGAGAAACTCAAAATATAAATAAAAAGCAAAATAAAAAATATGAAACAGGAAATAGATCTTTTGCAAAAGGGAACGGGATCAAAAGCTAGAGGGATAGGGGAAGGGAGAGTAGGAGATGGGAATGAAAAAAATAATTGATATGTGTTATGTACATGTACCAACTCCTGACAAGGAATGTAATAATTATATACTATAAACATATAATAGTAAAAAATTAAAAGAAAATTGTATATATTTATCGTGCACAATATAATGCCTTTATATTGTATATATTGTGAAATGGCTAAATCTAGTTATTTTACATATTATTACTTCACGTATTTTTCCATGAAAAAAATCTTAAAATCAACTCTGTTAGCAATTTTAAGACTTCAATACATTGCTTTTAACTATATTTAAGATGTATGATGAATTTCCTGAATTTATTTATCCTAAAAAAAGAAATTACAATTTAGCTAATACTAGCATTACAAGAATTTCATAAAATTAAACACTTTCAAAGCTATTGTCAGTCTCTTTCACTGAATACAATTTTACACATATAATTTAATTTTAAACAAGTTACAGAAATAGTGGTGACATTTAATTCATCAAAATCAAAGAAGTATGAATCGTGAGAAATACAACCTTGGTCTTGAACAAACAAAAAGAATGTGCTAAAGACTCAGAATCATACCAAAATTTTTCTTTTGTCTTGAAACTAAAGCCTCTTTGTATTTTCTTATAGACGTTGTAGTGAGGTTATCATGTAACTATACTTTTTTATGTGCACAAAAAGTAACAGTTTCATGACTTTAAAAATATTTTTTAAAGATATGTTTGATTTTCCCTAGATGATATAGTCCTAGAGGATATGGAAGACAACTAAATGCTTTTTAATCAGCTAATCTACAAAGAGAGGAAAAAGAGAGGAAGTAGAATATAAAATTTCACACAAACAGGAAAATCAGCTACAGTCATCATGAAACTATCATTGTAAAAGGCTAGTTATGTTTCCTCTGCAAAGTGAAGGAAGATGTTTATATAGACACAAAAGAGGGTGACTTAACATGGGCCTTTGACAATATTATTAAACTGTATAAATAAAAAACCTTCAGCATTTATTAATCGTTAAAGTATGGAAACTGAGATGATGGCTCCTACATTAGAGAAAATGATCTCTCTTGCAGTCTCCTCAGAGGATTTTCTCATTTGCTTTATATTTTAAAGTACCTCTCTTGTTCATGTTCAAAGTTCCCCAAAGTGCCTACTGCAATTTAAAATTGTTCCTGGTGAAATTGTGACAGTCAGAACGATAAGCATACAAGTTAGCACTGTGTTGAGAAAGCATGAAGGAAGTAGGTGTTTAGCCTTGGAAGACATATATTTTAGACCAGGAAAGTCCCATGAGAACTCAAAGATCTGTATAGATGGTGGTGGTGAACTTTATATTTCCAGAGCTTGGCCCAAGACAAATCATCACTGATCAGAGGCCAAAAGAACCAAAACAAAACAAAACAAAATACTGATTCTGAATAAGTAAAACCAAGGAAGGTAGGTCTTTGGGAAATGAAGAGAATATTGGGAAGTCTTTAAATCACTTAAAGCAAAGTTCTTCTAAAGGACATAGTCCGAGGAGACCTGTTGAACTTCTCTAGGCCCCAGGGGCTTCTCAGGGACAAGCTTATTGGGTCTATGCTTGTCCTTTCCATATGGACTTTTCTCCTTCTAAACAGACAACATCAAAGAAATGAGACAAGCAGACAAACAATAGGAGCATCTGTTAAAGCTTGGAAAATAATTTCACCAAAGAGTTGTATAAATCTGATCAGACCAAAAGTATCCCAGGGGCCTCATTACTATCAAATAAAACCCAAAGGCAAAGGGCTTCTGCAAAATATCACAGCTAAGTTTAGTGTGAACTTACTTCCCAGAGTGGGTAGGCCATCACCTCAGAGGTAGATATAAGAATTTTCAGATGTGACCACTATTGCTGAATGGAAGATCTAGGTCCAAGGCAGTAAAGGCTTCAGATTGAATTCAGTAAACCTCTATTTTTGTTTTTCACCAGAAACGTAACTGTACTTGGCTGACTTGGGTTTATTGGTCATTACCACGTGAGGAAAGGCACACAGTGGGGAAGAGCAGGTTGTCTCCCTCTGCAACAATGAGCAGCATACCTAACTCGTTCAACAGCAGGTGTATTCCTGGTGGTTTTTGGCTGATGAGCACTGACAGCACATGAAATCAGAGTCTGCATTTTGGCTTCTGGCACTTACTATCTGTGTTAACTTGGGCAAAGCACTTTATTTTCTCTGATATTTCATTTGCTCATCTCTAAATTGGATGTAAGATTATCCACTTCTTTTGACTAAGGTGAGACCTAGAAGTGAAATTTTTTAAAAAACAAAAGTTTAACTGTGTCATGTTTAAAGTGGCTCCTAGAATAAACAACTCAGGAATCTAGTGGCCTAGTGGCTATGAAAGTCTTTTATTTTTTGTTTGTTTGTTTCTTTTTTGAGACAGGATCTCCCTCTGTAGTTCAGGCTGGTCTTGAACTTGTGGCAGTCCTCCTGCCTCCGTTTTCCAAGTGCTGGGATTCCAAGGTTGCACCACCACACCCACCTGAAATTCTATGATTCTGTTGTACCCAGAATTCTGCTCTCCTGGCTCTGGAGCTGGACTGATGGGGAGGCTTATAGCTTACATCAGGTAAGCCCTTCCCTCAATCAAGAAACTCTCTTCCTGACAGCAATTTTTCTAACACCCATCCCTGAAATATTTTTTTAATCTACTTGTCTGTAATACATAAGATAGCACTTTATGTGCAGCAACACATTTGGGCAGTGGTAGGACCACTATATTCAGACTTAGAAGAACTGGATTTGAATTCTATCTCTTCCAAGACTAGCAGTATATTTCAGAAGCCTCAGTTTGCTCATGTGTAAAATCAGTGTAAAAACCTTACTTCATGTGTTGTGGGATAAACAATGATTATGTTTTTGCAAGAGGAATGCGGTGACAAACTGATTATTCCATAAGTTGACATCAAGGTTTCTCTTAAGAAAGGAATAGTCTTTTTAAAGGAAGATACTTGTGGAAAGCCAGTTTGGGGAAAGGAGAAGCTCTGATGGTAAGGAATGGAATGTAGCACATATGGAACTAAATTGTTTTTTCACAAGAAATGAACATGAATTTCAGATGAGCTGGAGAAGAACAAAGAAAATGTGAAGGGAAGGAAGAAGCAAATATGGCTCCATAGCAAGATATCAGAGTTTGCAGAGCAATTCCAAATGACAATGCAATCGAAGACTTATAAACACTGGAATTTCTAGTAATTGGTTGTTTGTGTTGCTGTAACACATATCCTTTCTATATATTCAAACCATGATAGAGTTATGTTATTTGCACAAGTCCTTCATGTGAGCCGTTTTTTAAACATATAGAAATTAGGGAAGAACAGTGTTCCTGATGTGGTGTAACCAAAAAAAAATAATAATAATAAAAAAAAAGTGTCCATGAAAGAGGAATGGTGAAATTAGAAGCTCCATATGAATCCAAATTCAGAACCACATGGCATTCTGGGGCCCTCAGAATTCTCAGAAATCTTAAGGAAGATGCTGGACTTCCCTGCTAAAGAGTAGGATGGGGGCTTGAGCTGGAGATATTGAGCTGTGAGGGCTCCACTATTCTGTCTTTTTAGGGATGCCAAATCGAGACCAAGAGAGGTTAAGTCACTGGGTTAAGTCATTGTCCAAGGTCACAGAGCTGGTATTTGGTAAGGCTAAAGCTCCATCCCTGGCTGAGTATTTATAACCTATGTTTTTATTCACTATATTTCATTGCTCAAGAGAATCCTGATAATCTGGAAGACATGCTTCATGTCCAGCTAAAATCTTCCATGCTCCAATTACAATAGCTTCTCTTTTTCTCAGTTATCAGTAAAAAGAGGATGGCTACTCCTAGGAAACCAAGGATCAACAAATGTCTACAAATCAGCTTTGAGTGAGAGAGCCAGACCCACGATAGTCACCAGGTCACCCTTTTGAGGAAATTTGGGGAGAGATGAGCAGCCCCTGCCTCAAAATGGAGAGCTCTATGGGATCTTTTAGGCTGGTATTTTAGGCTCAGTTGTTCTTGTTATAGCTAGCTCCTTGCAGGGGATCTCTTAGGCAAAGAACTGAAACCTTCGTGGCTTGTCTGCAATGGTAGAGCTAGAATAGGGCAGATGTTCCAGTGAGGATTTGTTTTACTTTCTGAAGATTTCTGCTGTGGGCAGGAAAGAAAGGCTGTAGGGAGCTGCTGGCGCTGTACCCTTTGAAATCTTTCCAAGAACTGCTAGATTCAGTCTGTAGAAAGAATTGCAATGCTTCAGAAATTTTGAAGGATTTTCAAGGATAACCCAAGGAGCATGTAAAACACTTTGGAGAGTCCTCCAGGGGAATTGCTTTCAAGAAGGGCAGGAGTAGCCACTTCTCTATGGAACTGTGCCTCAGAAGAGGTTGCTTGGAGTCCGATCTTGGGGCTCTGGACAGCCTGAGTTACAGAGACATAGGCAAAAGAAGGATATTGACATTATGAATGCCCTGCACAAGACAGTGAATGCTTCCCAGTTTGCACAGTGAGAGCTTTGCTGTCATAAGCCACCTGAGATCAGTGGAGCACACCTAAGTGGGCTATAGACGTCTATTCCTCAACCTAGCCTGAGGACTTCTCAAATGAGATTTTCAATAGAATATGTAAGAAATGCATATAATTACAAATTGCAACCCTACCAAAGAGCATAAAGTGAAAATTGTTCCTTCCACTCCAAATCCCCAACCTGTTCCCAAGAAGTAGCTGCTCTTACCAGGCGGGGCACATCCTCTCAAAAATAGTAAAGATTTCACTTGGACAGATTTTCTGTTTTTCTTCTTCTGGGTAGTGTAAATCTTAAACAGCTTCTCTTTTCTGACTTCATGTATAACCACATATAAAGTAGAAAAAACAAGTATAATAAACTTTTGTGTACCCATCACCAACTTCAATAATTATTAAATTTGACCAATGCTATTTCATCTGACCTTTGGTATCATGACATTTCATGTATAAATTTTTCTCTATGCATTTCTAACTGATAATGACCCTTTTAAAGCAATATGATTTTACTATCTTAACTAAAAAATATAACAAAAAGTCCCCAGTATCATCTAATCTCTCCTGCCTTCCACTATTTTAGAATCTCATAGATCCTACAAACTGCACAGGATTTATCTCTGTCCTGGATTTTGAACATAGGACTTCTATTTAGCCTGAGAAAAATAAAGCGTTGGGAACATGGGCCACAGTAGCCTCACCATCCTCCTCGTGGAGGGTATTGTTGCTCAGGGCAGAGACTCTTTATTGAAATGTTGTTTGAGAAGAGAACAATCATCTAAAAAATCTTCTATGCAATGAGTCTGAGGAGAAGTAAGCTCTAGAGGTTGTTCTTTCCTTTACGTATTAGGTGGCATTGAGAAAGCTGCCTCTGTACCCCACTGGACAATTGGAAAACATAACTTTCATCCTCCGAAGATAGGTTAGTATTTGTTAGCTAAATATAGTAGTTCTATTTCTGTTGTGCCCAGACATCATATAAAACATGGGGCCCTCTGGAGCTAGCAAAGTTTTCATGCTGGTAGAGGCGGTTTATGTGGACAACTGGTTTCTCTACACTGCTGGTAGCTATTTGGTGCTCCTTAGGCATGTTTTTTTCCTGATTTTTCTGTCCAATTACTTTGGCTTCTAGGTTTTTCTCCATGCCAAGAGCATCTCCTCTTCACACATGCACATCCAATTCACCAGCCACCCCTGTCCATCCTTGCACTGCTTTCTGAATTTTCAGGAGACAAACAGGCAAAGCTACCCTTTTCAGTGATTTGGAATAAAGTCTAACTCAAAGAATGTGATATCTTTGGCTCTCAGTCTTCCATTTTCTTGGAGAGAAAGGCATTGCAATGCCAATTGTCATAAAGTTGGGTATTGAAAGTCCTAGCTACAAGTACGTAGGAAATGAAACCCTACATGCCTGTGAGCTAGCTTTCTATGCCAGAGGTAGAAAAGCTGTAAGAAGTAGCCATTTACTTTCCCAAATTTGGACATTACTTTGGGAAGGATAAGCAGAGCCTCAGTATTGAAGCCCAAATGCTAGCAGGTGCCCCCTAGCTTTCACTGCTTTTGTGTTTTCTATATTCCATTTCCCATTGTCTGCTTGGACAAAGAGAAGTAGACCAGCAGATTGGGCACTTGAGTATTTATCTACTTTTCTGGAAGAAATTCACAAGATTTCTCTGAATTTCAGAATTTACTGTACACAGCAGAGCAAAGAGAGCCCACTTTTTTGTGGCCTTCAGGAATCTGGTACTATGGGATCACTGAGCAGAGAGTGAAGATAATATGCTAGTGTTTTCAAGTTATTTGCAAGAAAGCTGAAAAACCATATCAAGATATAATCAAGAGGCCCAGATTCTCTGAGGTTCCATCAGAACTACATACAGAAAACTGTTTTTCAAGTCCAATACAATCCTGCATTGTCCTCACAAGTAATCAAAGCAGAAAACAGGCTGTTTGCATGAAAGCTGACATTGCCCTCTTCAGGAATTCTTGGGCATTACAAAAATCCGTCCGGATTTGACAACGTTTTGCAAAGGGCACCAAGGGAAATGGAGTCACAGAGATAAAGGCCTCTTGGGGACATGTAAAGAAACCCTATAGGACTATAAGGAAGGCTCATGTGAAGGGTTCCGGGGATGTTGACGTAGTGTCAAGATTCACAGAATGACTAGAGCTGGGATCTTTGGGACACTGCAGACAGCAAGCATGACAATCACATGTATGAATAACTTTTCCATCCCTGGGAATAAAGCACGGTGGAGACAGGGAGGTCTGTTTTATCAAAGGTTGTGAAGAGAGAAAAAGAAGGAAACAGAGAGAGAGGGAGACAGGGAAGGAGGGAGGGAGGAAGGGAGAGAGGCGGGGGCAGGGGAGAGGGAGACAGAAAAGAAGGAGGAGAAAGGGGAAGAGGAGGAGGAGGAGAAGAATAAGAAGGAGAGGAGGGGGGAGAAAAAGAGGAAGCAGACAGAGAAATGGAGTCTTGGGGGAAAATTAAATGTATAATAAGATAATAAAGATGAAGGGAAAGAGAATTTTGAATTAGGGGATATGGTTGATAAATTAGTATCTGTGAAATTATTTCTTTTTTTTGTTTGTTTTTTTTTTGAGATAGGGTCTCACTGTATAGTTGAGACTGATCTGGAACTCACTATGTAGCCCAGGCTGGTCTCGAACTCACAGCGATCCTCCTGCCTCAGCCTCCCGAGTGCTGGGATTACCGGCGTGCGCCAACATGCCCAGCTTGTGAAATTATTTCTTTTCCAAGTAGCATAGCCATCCCCAGAGCTTCTGGAAAAATACAGGGGGAAGATTTGTGAAAGGACTCGGCCTGAGTGATTTCCCCTGCACGCACAACTGTCTTGTCTATCTGAGCTGTGAAGAATCATCCCTCTAATGCTATACACTAGAACTCCCAAAGTTTGGGCTCAGTTTCT